CCTACTTTTGATTAATTCATAGGTGGAACTACACCAACTACGAACTACTTGAATCGCTTCTGAGTGACACACTCGTCCGCAATGGCATTTCCACAAGGCACTGTACAGAAAAATGAGAAAGTTGGGTCCTAAAGTTGCGTCAACCGATTGAGGCCACAAAAACGGTTAATAAACTACAATACATCACCCGAAGATCCACTTTTAGACCCATTTTGCAACCCCTAAATGAAACAGCAAAACAAAATACAATGGAATTTAACGCCTTAAGGCACCGTCACGACAATTCTGCTATAGGTTAAGACAATGAGGACAAATTGTTGTGTCACAAAAGGAATTATAATGCTGAACATTTTGACTGGTGGAATCGAACAGTTTTGATAGTAGAAATGGATGCGTTTGTTTCGTCAATTTTAATTTTAAATTGGAAATTAAAGTATTGCCAAAACCGTTACTGTGGGGAAGTAAGAAAATGCACTGAAAAGCAAAGGTCGAATGTGACAACTAAAGGCTAAATCCTATAGGTCAGTTGTGGTTCTTATGATCACGTGCAAAGGTGAAAGGAAAGTAAGAAATCATACAATGCTAAGAAGAGGAAGTGCGACCTAAATGCGCAAAAAATTGTCACCTACCTATTCGAGAGGCATATTGACTCGTTGATAGCGAAAGCGGTTTTCCGAACCTCCTCCATCAGATGCGAAAAGTAGGGCACCGAAGTGTGCGCGTATACGTAGAGGGAACAAGGCACGTGGCGGACTGCAAGCAAAATGCAGAGGATTCAGTACCTTGAAATGAAACTGGACCATGATAGGTAAGCCGAATCGCAGCTTCCACACATCGACAACAGAGGAAATACATGAAGATGTGAGGAAAACAAAATGAAGTCCGTATAGAAGCGAACGCCATTACAACACTATTGTATGAACTGAGAATATGCTCTATGACGTGTAAGAACGATTAGTGCTTACATGGAGAAGGAATGTCAAGCAAAGCTATAGCTAGATTCACGTATTACAACGTTTCAAAGAGACAATAAATTCGCTCATCTTTGATGTGCTTGGACCTAGCATTGCACGAGGTTGAATAAAATCTCATCTGTAGGAACGCTATTATTGTTCATAAACGCTTCCAATTTTAACCGGTTAGCTCAAGTTTATTGCACAAGAATAGTTTAAATGTGCAAAGAAATATGCGGGGACAAATTCTTCCTTTGTTTTGTTCTCCACATATGCTAGAGCAAAACCCAGATATGATCTGACGGCATTCGCGCACAAGAATGTAAAAACACACCCTTAAAAATGTTGAGCGTTATTGTTCGTACAGCAATACGGACCATATTCTCCGCGTGGTTAAAAAACCGTAAGGCCCTCTGGTAGACCGGAAAGCTCCAATGAGCCTCGTCGTAGAAGAAGTTAATAGTGTCTTCATTCATACGGAAAGTGAGGGATTTCAGGAAGGCAATATAGTAGCCAATTATCTCCTCGTCAGTAAAGTCAAAATCATGCAGAATTATACCATTGGTGTGGTTTTGTGAAAGAAGGTAATCTAGCGAGAAGAAGAGTTAACGACGGTCGTTAAGGGCCTACAGATTGCACGGTTGTTTGTGAGGTTCTCAAAGAGGATGTTTAGAGTTTGAAGAAGTTGAATGCAGATGAGGCGGTCCTGATGGCGCTCGATGTAGCGAATAAGTAGTTCCAGGGCATTCTGCTCCCAAAAGAAACTGAAATAGTGAATGTTAGTAGTAGTTGACATTACTCCATGATTGACCCATCATTCTGATCACCCCACACGATGATCTCGGAAAAGAGACGCAAACTTTCGACCACTTCGTCAGTGTTGCAATCAGTGGAATCACAGTTCTTTTGAAGCACCTGGTATAGATATCTGTAACAAAATTGAAAGTGAGAAAAGAATCAATGACGAATTTAAATCCAAAATCGTAGTCTGTCGAAAGAGTTACGATGGCAAGCCCACAGCTTAATAGGACAACCATCGAAACGAAAGTTTACTAATAAGTTCATATCATATTCTAAACTACTTGGAGAATCGTTCACAATTGCAATTCGGCTAAAATAATGAAGAAAAATTAAAATGGCTTCATGGAGTGAGAATCGAAAATCGAATAAAGACGAGAAGATTTGCAGTTCCCTAGTAACTAACGGCACCCCATAGGCCCCGAATAACAAACAGCATAAAAAAAGCACACAATGGAAAAAAATCAGAGGGGAGAGATGACCTGCATGACTAAACAGGGAAACAGCTAATTACCACTAA